TATTTTATACTGGGGGGGGGTTTTGTAATTTTGGAGGCTGGGGCTATGTTTTTTTTGGAGGCTGGGGGTTTTGTAATACTGGGGGCTGGGGGGGATGTAATACTGGAGGGGGGTTATGTAATAATGGGGGTGGGGGTAAGTAATATGGAGGCGGGGGTTTTGTAAAACTGGAGGCTGGGGGTTTTGTAGTACTGGGGGCTGGGGTTATGTAATACGGGGTTGGGGTTATTAATTTCTGGGGGCGGGGTTATGTAATTTCGGAGGTGGGGTTTTGTTTAAAATGGAAGGGGGGGGTTTGTTTTATGGATGCTGGGGGATGTAATTTTGGGGGCTGGGGTTATGTAATACTGGAGGCTGGGGTTTATGTAATACTGGAGGCTGGAGTGAACCCGGGGCCTGGTGGCTAAAGCTTTCCCCCCTTTAACACGGGGGGCCCCGGGTTTTGATTCCCGGCGGGGGGAAACATTTCGACCCCCGTTTCTTTACACCTGTTGTCCCGTTTTTACCTACAGGGAAATAGGTACCTGGGTGTTACGACTGGGGGTGGGTCGCCCTCCTGGGGGGCAAGATTTAAGGGGCCCCCCGGGAAAAAATTAGACATTTTCCCCGATTACGCAAGGGGCTTTCTTTGGGGTTTTCCGGGTGGCTTAAACCCCCCGGGGGTTTAAAAAACCGAACGAAATCTTATCTTAATACTGAGGGGTTTGGGGGTTTTGTAATCTGGGGGGTTGGGGGTTTTGTAATTTCTGGAGGTTGGGGTTATGTAATATGGGGGTTGGGGTTATGTAACACTGGAGGCTTTGGGGGGTTTAATACTGGAGGTGGGGGTTTTGTAATATGGGGGCCCGGGGGTTTTGTAATTCCCGGGGGGTGGGGGTTTTGTAAAAAAATGGGGGGGGGTAAAAAAAAAACTGGGGGCTGGGGGGTTTTGTAAATACTGGAGGCTGGGGGTTTTGTAATTGGGGGCTGGGGTTTTTGTAATACTGGATGTGGGGTTATGAATAGGGGGGGGGTGGGGTTATGTAATACTGGAAGGGGTTTGGGGGGATGTAATATGGGGGGTGGGTTATGTAATACTGGGGGCTGGGGGGTTTTGTAATACTGGAAAAGGGTGGGGGTTTTAATTTAAAAATTGGGGTTGGGGGGGGTTATGTAATACGGAGGTGGGTTTTTGTAAAACTGGAGGCTGGGGTTATGGGAATACTTTGGGGGTGGGGTTATGTAATAGGGGGGTGGGGTTTGTAAAAACTGGGGGCTGGGGTTATGTTTTCCCGGGGCTGGGGTTATGTAATACTGGAGGCTGGGGGTTTTGTGTTTTCTGGGGGCGGGGGTTTTTGTAATATGGAAAGGGTGGGGGTTTTTTGTAAAAACTGGGGGCTGGGGTTAAGTAATACGGAGGCTGGGGGGTGAATACTGGAGGCTTGGGGGTTTTGTAAAAACTGGAAAGCTGGGGTTATGTAATACTTTGGGGGCTGGGGGGTTTTGTAATAAGGGGGCTGGGGTTTTGTAATATGGGGGGTGGGATTATGTAAATGGGGGCTGGGGTTATGTAATTAAATGGAGGTTGGGGGTTTTGTAATAAGGAGGTTTTGGGGGGATTTTAAACTGGGGGCTGGGGTTTTGTAATTTCTGCCCGGGGTGGGGTTATGTAAAAGGAGGCTGGGGTTTTTTAAATCGGGGGCTGGGGTTATGTAATACTGGGGGCTGGGGTTTTGTAAAACTGGAGGTGGGGTTTTGAATAAATGGAAAGGGTGGGGGGTTTTGAAAAACTGGGGGCTTGGGGGTTTTGTAATACTGGGAGGGGTGGGGGGTTTTGTAATACTGGGGGGTGGGGGGGTTTTGTAATATGGAGGCTGGGGGGTTTTGTAATCCCGGGCTGGGGTTTTGTTTAAAACTGGGGGGGTGGGGTTAAGTAATACTGGGGCGGGGTTATTAAAAGGGGGTTGGGGGTTTTGAAAAACTGGAGGTGGGGTTATGTAATATGGGGGCTGGGGTTTTTGTAATACTGGAGGCCCGGGGGTTTTGTAAACGGGGGGCTGGGGGGGTTTTGTAATACTGGGGGGCTGGGGGTTTTTTAATTTCTGGGGGCTGGGGTTATGTAATACTGGGGGCGGGGGTTTTTTAATACTGGGGGGCTGGGGTTATGTAAAAACGGGGGCCCGGGGGGGTTTTGTAATAAATTTGGGGGCTGGGGTTTTGTTAAAACTGGGGCTGGGGTTTTTGTAAAATGGAGGTTGGGGGTTTTTGTAATAAATGGAGGTGGGGTTATGTAATACTGGAAATGGGGTTTTTGAAAAACCGGGGGTTGGGGGTTAAATTTTACTGGGGTTGGGGGTTATGTAATCTGGAGGTGGGGGTTTTTAATACTGGAGCTAGGGGTTTTGTAATAAATGGAGGCGGGGTTATGTAAAAACTGGATTGGGGGGATGTAATTTCTGGGAAAACCTTCCTCGGGTCATGCAGCTGCCAAAAAATTTTTTAATTAAAATTTTTTTTTTTTATTATTAAACTTATTATTATTATTAAATTTTAATTTAATTTATTGTTTTTTATTATTTTTATAAAATTTTTATTATTTTTATTATTTATTAATTTTATTATTATTATTATTTATTATTAAATTTTTATTATTATTATTATTATTGTTTTTATTTTTATTAAAATTAATTATTAATAATAATACTAATAATATAATTTCTTTAATTTTAATTAATAATTTAAAAAAAATAATAATTTAAAAATAAAAATTGGGTTTTTTTTACGAGAATGAAACAAAAAGGAAAAATGATCATTAAAAAAAAATAATTTTTAATTTAAAAAGATACTAATAAAAATAGCAAAAAGAGCAATAATAATAATAATAATAATAATAATAATAATAAAATAAAAATAAAAATAATAATAGTAATAATAGAATATAAAATACAGAAAAAAAATTAAAAAATAATAATAATAAAAATAATAATAAAAATAATAATAATAAAATAAAAATAAAATAAAAAAAATTTAAAAATACAGCAATAAAAATAATAAAAAATAAATAATAATAATAATAAAAAAAAATAAAAAAATAATACAGAATAATAATAATATAAAAAATAATCATAATAATAATAAAATAATAATAATAAAAAATAATAATAATTTAAAAATAATAATAATACAAACAATAATAATAATAATAATCATCATCATAATAATAATAATAATAATAAAAAAATAAAAAAATAAAAATAATAATAAAAATAAAACAGAAAAAATAATAATAATAATAATAATAATAATAAAAAAAAAAATAAAAAGTAATTATAATAAAATTAAAAAAATAGTAATAATAAAAAATAAAACGGCCTGGGGCCTGGGGGCTAAAGCTCCCCTTCACAACGGAGGGCTCCCGGGGTTTGAATCCCGGGGGGTGGAAAAAATTTCGACACGTTTCTTTACAACCCTTTTTTCCCGTTTTAAAAGTAGCCAAAAAGGGACCTGGGGGTTATCGATGGGGTGGGTTTGATCCCGGGGGGCCCAAAATTTAAAGGGCCCCAAAGGGAAAAAAGTTAGACAGGGCCCCGATGCGCCCCCATTTCTTGGGGTTTTTCCTGGGGGCCAACCCCCCGGGGTTAAAAATCCCGAAAGGGAAAACTTATCCCTTTTCTCTTTGTAAAATAATAATCAGCAAAAATTAAAAATAATAATAGTTAAATAATTTTAAATTTAAAAAAATAAAAGGCAATAAAAATAATTTAAAAATTTAATTATAATTTAAAAATAATAAAAAATAATAATTTCAGAATAATAATTTAAAAAAATATAAAAATAAAAATTTAAAAATAATAAAATAATAATAATAATAATTAAAAAAATTTAAAAATAATAAAACAGCAAAAATAAAAAAATAATAATAATAAAAAATAATAATAATAATAATAATAATAAAATAATATAGAAAAAATAATAATAATAAATAATAATAATAATAAAATAATAATTAATAATAATAATAATAAATACCGCAATAATAATAATAAAAAAAAAATAAAAATAAAAATAAAAAATAAAAAAAATTTAAAAATACAGAATAAAAAAATAATAAAATAATATAATAATAATTTAAAATAAATAATAATAGAAAATTAAAATTTCCAATTATAAAAAATAATAATAAAAAATAATTTAAAAATAAATTTAATTTAAAAATAATAATAATAAAAATAAAAATAATAATAATAATAGTAATAATAATAACGAATAATAAAAAAATAATAATAATAATAATAAAATAATAAAAAAAATAATAATAATACAGCAAAAATAATAATAATGAATAATAAAAAAATAATAATAATAATAATAAATAATAATAATTTAAAATAATAAAAAAATAATAATAATAAAAAAAATAATAATAATAATGATAAAAATATTAATAAAAAAAATTAAAAAAGCAGGAATTAAAAAAAATAATTTAAAGGAGCAAAAATAATAATAATGATAATAAAAATAAAATAATAGTAAAATAAATAAAACAGCAATAATAATAATAATAATAATAATAATAATAATAATAAAAAAATAAAAAATAAAAATAATACAGCAATAAAAAAATAATAATTTAAAAATAATATTAAAAAAATAATAATAATAATAATAATAATAATAATAATAAAAAATAATAATAAATAATAATTAATAAAATAATAAAAATAATAATAATAATTTAAAAATAATAATAATTTCGCATAATAATAATAATAAAAATAATAATAAAAATAATAATAAATAATAAAAATAAAAATAATAAAGTTAAAATTGAGAGAAGGAAAAACCCTGATGCTGGAGGAACAATCTTGGTTTTTAAAAAACAACAACAACAACATTGCTTTTTGTATTTTCCAAAATTTTTTTTTTTCCGTTTTTTAAATCGTTTTATTTTTTATTTTTGATTGCAAGTATTTTGTGGGGTAGTTGTTGTGTTTTTGTTAGGGGTGAGGGAAAGGGCCCAGAAGTGAACCAACCTCAGTAAGTACTTAAAATTTTTCATGCGAGAGGGTTTTAGTAGTGGGAAATGAAAATTTCGAAAACTGCTTTCGAAAAAATTTTTTGATGGAAGGATTTTGGGAACTTTCCCCTTTCCCCTTCCCCGGGTCAGACCTTATTTTTCCCTTTCATCTCCAGGGGGTTGTGTGGTCTTCTAGTTTTTTGGCCCCTTTTATTGAAATAATGCTCAGTATTACGTCAATATTATTGTTATTATTGTTTATTATTATTATAATAAATTAGTTAAGATAAAATAAGATTTCGTTCGGATTTTTAACCCTGGAGGGTTAGCCACCCAGGATAACCTAAGAAAGTCAGTGCGTCATCGAGGACTGTCTAACTTATTTCCATTGGGGTCCTTAATCTTGTCCCCCAGGATGCGACCCACACCAGTTGACTAACACCCAGGTACCTATTTGCTGCTAGGTGAACATGACAACAGGTGTAAGGAAACGTGTCGAAATGTTTCCACTCGCCGGGAATCGAACCCGGAGCCCTCCGTGTGTGAAGCGGGAGCTTAAGCCACCAGGCCACCGGTCCTTGGATCAAACCTTACATTCTCAGGCTGTGAGGTTTTGCGGGTTTAGTGCTTCCATTAAAATAATGCTAAGCTATGTAGTTTATATGTATAGTCTATGTATATATATATTTTATATCTATTTTATGTTTATTTAGGTACAGGTTACCCTTGTGAGTTTAACGCTTCATTTTGACTGTAATAATAATTTAAGTACTGGTGCACCATAAATACAATTATCTTACATAGTAATGTGTGTACATTATCCAGGATAACCAAAAATAGTTAGACAAAGTGACTTATTTTCCCTATAATAATAATAATAATAATAATACATATCCTGGGGGACAAGATTAAAGGACCACAATGAAAATAAGACAAACAGTCCTTGATGACACACTGACTTTCCTGGGTTGCAACACCCCCTCCCCTCCCCCCCAGGTAAAAAAATCCAAGCCACTGCTGTAAACCAAAAATCACTGTAAAGTGAATCATAGACTCTTTTCCACTTTCAAACACATATAAAAGCCAGATAACATGTTTACATTATCATATATTAAGTGAGCAATAAAGCTAGACCTAAAAAATACATATTCAGTACACACATTACTTTCCTTAAAGTATTTTTGTCCTTGGTTTATAGTGAATGGTAAATATATTTATTGTAGGAAGTCTGAATAAATGATGAATGGGTATAATTAAAAACTGGTGCATTAGCAAAACATTGTAAAGTGAAGCACTGTAAAGTGGGGCTCTCCTGTACCTGGATGTTACTTGACAACTGTGGGCAGCATCCTGAGAGAAGAATTGTGCACCATAGATAAGACTGGGCTTTGAAATGAGCTGAGGTAGGATAACAGCTCCTAGTTATCCTAGGATGAATAGATGGTAGGTAGTGTACTTGTAAATTTAATGGTGTTGTAATTTTCTTCAGAACATACGATTCATCTCAGACTATGATGCAGTATTGTCTCCTGAAGAAGTGACTCTGCCAGATGACCAGTGTAGTCTAGTTGCAGCTGCAGCCAAGTATGGCTTGGTTTTTGTCAGCTGTGTCACAGTTTTTAAAGGTAGGAGAAATTATTGGTTAAATTTTTATATGGTACATATGACAAAAGTGGATAGATGGGTTAGTGTATTTTTGCTGTAAATCTCATTGTTAACCCTTAAACTGTCCAAATGTAGATCTACGTTCACTCACATAGCGCATTGAACGTAGATCTACGTTTGAATTTACATGCTTTTTTATGTAAAAAACGTAGATCTACGTTCGGAGCGTTACACGAGTGAACATAGATCTACGTTTGTACAATTTAAGGATTAACCCTTTGACTGTTTCCGACGTATAAATACGTCTTACGAGCCAATGTTTCTGACGTATTTATATGCACAAATTCTAGCGGCTTCAAATCGCGCGCCAAAGGCCTGGTAGGCCTACACGGGAGAGAATGGGTCTCAGTGGTCGGTGTGCACCCTGTGAAAAAAATCTGGGACCTAGCGGTGCATTGTGGGAACGCCATGTTGTCAGTCCATTTTCACCATGCCTCTCGGTAAGAAGTTCCTCACTCCTCGGCGGATTGGAGGTCTTTTGTTCCCAAGTGATAGCTCTAACAGCGATGAAAATGTCAGTGACATTTGAATTCAAGGGTTTTCAAGTGAGTGTTACCAAAAAAAAGTCCCCAGGATAACGTAAATAGTGACGAAAACCCAGATAAACCCAAACCTTCGACCGGGTGTTTGTGCCGGCTTGTTCACATTCACCTTCGCCTGTACCAGGACGAAAGAGGAAACTATTTGGTCGTGTACAAACACCCTGATGATAGCAGTGATAGTGATAGTGATAGTGATAGTGATTTCAAGGTCATTGAAGCATTCTAGTGCCCAGTGAGAGTGATATTCCCAGTGAAGCGCCAGTATGTACGACGTAGCATGCGGTTCTGGTAGTGTTTCTATGTTGTTCCAAGGGGAAGGAGAAACCTGGGAGCACATCCCGTGGCCCAACACCACGACCCTGATAGGGGAAGTTTGACGATATTGTAACGATGGGTATAAATGGTGACAGTGGGGGAGGGGCAGTGGTGGTGATAGTGAGGGTGGCACGGCCCATGTGGCACCATCACCGGGCCACGCTACTAGCCACGGGGCTGACTCAGCAGAACAACCAGCCTCACCCAAACCCCACACTGCCACAACCTGCACCACCACAACCTGCACAGCCACAACCACGGTACAATTTCAGACCCCACCAGCAGGACCGCATCTGGGATTGGCAGGACGGTGACGATTTTTTCCCCAGTCCCCATGACTTTGAGAAAACACAAAGTGGAATAAAGCCATCTTGCCACTTGGGAACAATGCCAGTGAACTGGACTGCTTTGAGTTATTCTTCGATGAACCCCTGATGGACATCATTGCGGGGAAACCAACACATACTGTGAATACACCATGGCAATTACAATTCTCTCACCAAAATAAACGCTACACAAGGGGAAGGAGCAACTGTGGCAGAGATGTACCTGTTTTTTGCCAACAAATGCTTATGCCACATGTGTATAAGCACACTGTCACCACATACTGGACAACAGATCGCCTTTATTTCAACTCCAGGTTTTTTGTGACATTATAGGTGTCAATCGTTTCCTGATACTGTTGCGTATGTTACATTTTCAGACAAAACCAGGCCTGACAGAAGCGACAGGTTTATATAAGATAAGAAATGTTTTATGTACCTGAAACAAAAATGCGCATGTATTTTTATCCCTTCAGGAAGCTTGTTATTTATGAGTCCTTTATTTTTATTCAAAGGAAGACTCATTCAAGCAAATTATACCAAGCAAGAGGAAACGCTTTGGTATAAAGCTATTTGTACTGTGTGATTGCAGAAGTGGTTTGTTTTAGATATTATTTGTTACACTGGCAGTAATACTTTGGAGATACCATGAAGTTATTGGGTATCTCTGGTGATGTGGTTCGAACAATGATGGAACCATATTTGGTAAGGGGCATATGTTATTTACTGATAACGGTACACAAGCCCCTTACTCAGTGATTTCTTGCGAGTGAACTTGACAGACGTGTGTGGCACAGTGCGTGGTAATCGCAAACATATGCCAAGGTTCGACGCTGGCACTCGCAGAGGTGAGGTGCAAGCCTTTGCGCCATGACATCATGGCATTTCGGTGGCATGACAAACGTGATTTTCACATTGTTGACATCAGTTCACACAAAAAGAAATGGTACCAATGGGCAGGGACAACAGAGAGACCAATGAAACCCATTCTAAAGCCTGCAGCTGTCATGGACTACAACCTCAATATTCGCTTAGTGGACAAATGTGACATGCAGATTGGGTTTGCAACTGTGTACGCAAGAGTTATAAGTGGTATAAAACAAACTTTTTTTCCATCTTGGTTGATATCTCTATGCTAAATGCTTATAAAATATACAAGTTGAAGACCAACAAAACACCAAAATTGGTGAATTTTGCCTGTCAGTAATCAGACAAATAATTGCCCAAAGTACAAAGGAGCAACTCCTGCAATAGACCAGCGCCCACAGACGTCATCTCGTTTGAGGCCTGGTGATCACTACCCCATACAACTGCCTCCTACTACTGCCAAGAAAAATGCTCAGAAGAGGTGTTATGTATGTATGCATACCACAAAACGCCCACAAACACGCAGAGGGCACTCGTTTTATGTGTGAGGAGTGTGAAGTGCCCCTCTTGCATATACCCATGTTTTAAAGAGTTCACACAAGCTGCAGCAGTTCTAGGAATGTGCTTAGTGACTGTACATATGTTTTATATATTATGGAACTAGTAATAAACATTGTTTTTTTATTTTTTTTTGTGTAAACAAAGTGTATACACAAACTAATAGTGATAAAGTTTTTCTGTTATTGTGTTGTAAATAATGAGTGTATATTTGAACAATGACCCCTTTCATTGGTCTCACAGGCCACATAGTTACCTGGAAAAGAAAAATATTGAAAAATGCAAGAAACCTTTGAATTAGAGTAAATTAAAAGAATACCGCGTGGGCGGCAGTCGCCGCTGTTGCCATACCCGTCGATTTCTGCAAACTTTGCGGCTTATATCTCGGTAAGTACTGATGGCAAAAATTTTTTTTTAGGCTTAAAACACTAGTAAAAAATTCCTAACTTTTTTCAAAGAAAAAAAATTTTTTTTTTTTTTCCAAAAATTTTTTTGGGGGCGACATAGAAGACATTTTTCAGAGAGGGCCCGGGAAACAGTAAAAGGGGTTTAAAAAGGGGGCTTCAAAAATTTTTTTTTAAAGCCTTTTGGTGTTGACTTTTTAAAGGGTTTTTTTTTTTACGTTTGTTTTTTGAAATTGAAGCTTTTTTTTTTAGCTTTTCCTTGGGGTGCTTCAAAGAAATTTAAAACCCTTTGAGGGTTTTGGGCCGTACTGTACGGTTAAACCCCCGGGTTTTTTGACGACAGTGGCCCCCTCGCTTTTCTTTATTTCCCCCGGCAATCGAAAATTTCGCCAATCATGGGTTATTTTCGTTTTAAAACAGGACTGGGCTTTTCAAAAGTTGATTTCGCAAGTCGTAATTTGTCCCAGACCGCCCCACGGGTAAAGCCTTTGGCGGCACCCGGGTTCGGGATTCCCCTTACCTGGCGAAGACCCCCTCACGGGGCTCCAGCGAAATATTTTTTAATTTTTCCTTTTTTTTTAAGTGCTTGCAAGTATTAAAAAAACCTACCATGGCCCCAAAGAAAGTCCTAGTGCCCAAGCCTGTGGTAAAAAAAGGTGAAAAACGATAAATTTAAGAAAAACATCATTAAAACAAATAAAAGGGGACAAGTGGGGCCGAACTGCCGGGGATGTAAAAAGAAGCCCTACAAAAACCCTTTATGTTCCATATTTGCCAAGAAAAAGGAAATGGGGGGCGCTGTTTTGAAAAGGGGGGAAACTATGCTGAAAAAAAATGAGACACCAGTACTCGAAAAAGGGAAAGGGTTATTTTTTGGTGGGGATAAATGAAAAAACAATTAGCGGGGAAAATACTCTTATGATTTTCGTTATTGTGAAAAGGCTAGGCAGTTGCATGAAGATTTGGTAAAGAAATTGCCTGCAAATAGGGGGATATGATGAATTTTAAAGGGAAAACAAAGGCTGGTTTGGGGAGATTTAAGAAAAAGTAGTGGGATACCCCATGTTGGGAAGGCATGGAGGGCCCGCCAGTTGGACCACAAGGGGGCCCGAAAAAAAAATGTGCATGAAAATTCCCGGAGTACATAGAGGCTGAAGGAAAAGAAAACCCGAACAAGTGTTTAATTGTGACGAAACAGGCCTCATTTGGAAGAAAACCCCAAAAGAGGACCTTCATTACACGAGAGGAAAAGGGCCCGCCAGGAAACAAGCCTATGAAAAGACGGGCTGATGCTAAGGGGTTCTGTGCTAATCTAGTGGGAATTTTAAAGTGAAGCCCATTACTATGTACCATTCTGAAAAATCCAGAGTGTTCAGGAAAAAACATGGTATAAAGAGTAAATTGTGTGTGTTTGGGAAATCTAATAGAAAGGGCAGGGTCACGAGGGAATTTCGTCGTGGTTTCAATGAAGTTTTTGCCCTATGTGAGGAGTATCCCCTGAAAAGAAATTGATCTCAAGTGCCTGCTGTAATGGATAATGCACCTTGCTATCCTCCAAATTTGGGAAATACCTAATTTCAGAGGACTGCAAGAGTTTCCCAGCGGAAAGAGCAACAAAATCCAGCCAGAATCTTGCTGCAGGGGAAAGGAGAAAGAGAGATGGGGGAAAGTGCCTTTTTCAGAAATTAAAGAGATTTTACTAGTGGGGTAAGATGGAAACTTATGGAGAAACATCACCCTAACGAGGGTTGTTGCAAGCCATATTGGGCAACTGTCAGTGACAAAGTCTTGGCCATTTTGGGAAGTGTTGAAGAGACCCAGAAACAGAGCTCTCTTCCACGGTTATTTTGGCAAACGGGGGCTCCATTGACTCTCAAGGTGGTCCAGTGGCATTAAGAAACAGAGAAGAGAAGCAACCCCAGAAAAGCAATTGGTACCTGAGGTGGTGTTGGAAGGGGATTCCCCTTCCAAACTATAAACAGTCCACTCTCTCTCCTCCTCCAGTCTCCCATACACTAAGAAGAATCTCCAATAAAGGTAAGTGTTATGCTGTTAATGTTTCATTCATCATTTCCCATTGTATTGTTTATGTACTACATGTATATTTCATGTAAAAAATTTTTTTGTTTTAATACTTCTGGGTGTCAGGAACGGATTAATTGTATTTACATTATTTCTTATGGGGAAAATTGATTCACAAATCATAAATTTTGTTTATAGTAACGGCTCCAGGAACGGATTAATTACGAAAAACGAGGGACCACTGTACTAGTATGCCTAAATTCTAGCGCCCTCAAATCTAGTGGGAGAAAGCTGGTAGGCCTACATATGAAAGAATGGGTCTATGTTGTCAGTGTGCACAGTATAAAAAAAATCCTGCAGCACACAGTGCATAATGAGAAAAAAAAAAAACTGACCGTTTTTTTGGAATAAAACAGCAACTTTGCACTGTGTTTTCGTATGGTATTTATTGTTGTATTCTAGTTTTCGTGGTCTCATTTTATAGAATGGGAGACATATTACAGAAATTGAGATGATTTTGACTGGTTTTACGATGAAAAGTACCATGAAATTGAGCTCAAAGTAACAGAAATGTTCGATTTTTACCAAAGTTCAAAAGTAAACAAATCATGCCAAGCGTCCAATACACATCAACTAGCGAGTCTAATATTCTTTCACAAGTGCGCTGATATTATTTATACCATTTTTTACACTAATGCAGTAGTCTGCATAACAGTAAATCTTCAATTTTTTGTGAGAATAAAAATTCAAAGTGGAAAGCAAAAGAACGTAAGAGGGGCCTTGAGACGTGACTAATGAACAGAGGAAATGTCATTTTAGTGCCAGGAATGTCTTTCTTGTTTATTCTGGACCCTATTCGGAAATTGGCATCTTTTGAAATTTGTGTGAAATTGGCAAAATTGCTTAATTCTGACCACTGTACTGGATAGTTGAAATCGGTAAATGGGTGGTTTCTTGCACTCATTCGATAGAAAAAAATGGATTTTTTTTTTTTCAACAAGTCGGCCGTCTCCCACCGAGGCAGGGTGACCCAAAAAAGAAAGAAAATCCCCAAAAAGAAAATACTTTCATCATCATTCAACACTTTCACCACATTCACACATTATCACTGCTTTTGCTGAGGTGCTCAGAATACAACAGTTTAGAAGCATATACATATAAAGATACACAACATATCCCTCCAAACTGCCAATATCCCAAACCCCTCCTTTAAAGTGCAGGCATTGTACTTCCCATTTCCAGGACTCAAGTCCGACTATATGAAAATAACCGGTTTCCCTGAATCCCTTCACTAAATATTACCCTGCTCACACTCCAACAGATCGTCAGGTCCCAAGTATCATTCGTCTCCATTCACTCCTATCTAACACGCTCATGCACGCTTGCTGGAAGTCCAAGCCCCTTGCCCACAAAACCTCCTTTACCCCCTCTTTCCAACCCTTTCGAGGACGACCCTTACCCCTCCTTCCTTCCCCTATAGATTTATATGCTTTCCATGTCATTCTACTTTGATCCATTCTCTCTAAATGACCAAACCACCTCAACAACCCCTCTTCTGCCCTCTGACTAATGCTTTTATTAACTCCACACTTTCTCCTAATTTCCACACTCCGAATTTTCTGCATAATATTTACACCACACATTGCCCTTAGACAGGACATCTCCACTGCCTCCAACCGTCTCCTCGCTGCTGCATTTACCACCCAAGCTTCACATCCATATAAGAGTGTTGATACTACTATATTTTTATACATTCCCTTTTTTGCCTCCATAGAAATATTCATGTTTTTTTTGTCGACTAGTACAGTGGAATTGGCCGAAAATGGGGCTCAAAGTGGGCAAAATCGCCGATGCATAAACATTGCCGAGACCGCTAACTTCGCGAGAGCATAATTCTGTAAGTTTTCCATCAAATTTCATACTTTTGGTGTCATTATTTTTTTTTTTTTAAAATTTGGCCGACCCTGAGAAAGAGTCTCGGAGAGGGCCTGTCGACCCTCAAAGGGTTAAGTAATTTATTTAGGCACAGATCCACATCAGTTCAATTATCATACATAGTGTAAATTACCTTGGATTTATTTAATATTACCAAGGGTGTTAAGTGATCTTGTACATCATAGCATTCTTCAGTTTAACACTTTTCTTCCTTGAGGTTCATTTTACCTATGTTGGGGGTATTTGAGTAAGAATGTCTGCATATTATGCCATGCTGATTTAATGATATACTAGGACTAGCATCATCAAGTTGTGGTGACAGTCTTTTTGGTTACAACTTAGGCTCTTTCTCATCACTAGTATACAATATATGTTATCATTTTAAGACAGTTCTACCAGAATGCCAAAATTTTAGCAAGCCTCTGTTTCACATTTATTCAAATTCCAATATTTGTGTTTTTTTATGCAGTATACAGATAATGTAGTTTACATGTAATAAAATTAGGCCACTAGCATGCAGTGCATTTCGGGCAGTACAGTACTGCTCCAGGTGGTTGCTGTCTACCAATGTAATATTGTAGAGATTTAATTTTAATATCGTATGTAAAGTTAATTAACGTATGTAATTACTTTCTTTGCAGTTTTTGAATCCAGGACTGTGGTTAAGGATGGAAAGAAGAATCCTTTGGCCAGTATAAATACTGGTGCCCCAATTACTCACATCACTTGCAGCTGTGATGGCCTCACACTCCTCGTGGTCATCCTTCACAATAATGTTCCACATGTCCTCTTCTATGAGATCCGGAACTTTGTGCCAGGTGTAAGTCTTAGTTCTCTTATCCCTTCAGTTCAAGGAGTAGGGGTGAATGTCTTGATGCAGGTAATGGGTTCTTGATCCCAAGAATTATAGCTAACTTGCTCTTCCTTTTTGAATCAAGCCTATTTATCTCCCAGTCTAGAGGTATTGTATGAATCCTAGAGGTTCACTGCTTCCTTATGAATGCATTATAATAGAAGTATCTTTGTCTTGTATAGAAAAATACCTAAAATAGCCTTGTGTATATTTTTTTAGCTCCATTTTAGTATGGCAGGGTATCACATTGCTAAAAGTAATTGCATTCTTGATGATGATGTGTCACTGTTCTATCTAATTTCCTAAAATGTAAGTTCAGTTGACTTGTGGCTTGTGGTACAGACTACTTGAATTCTCCTGATTGTGGGATAGACAGTTTATTTACTTCTGGGGTATGTCTTACCACACTACACTAAAGAAGTGCAAAGTACCACTAGTACGAGCCCTCAGTATTCTTTGGAGAAAGAGCTTAGATCTAGGTGAAATACTGTAGGCCTTAAAGAGTGCAGACATAGCTCCTTTGCATAAGGGAGATAGTAGAGCACTAGCTAAAAATTACAGCCCAGTGGCCCTAACTTCTCACATCATAAAAATCTTCAAAAGAGTGATGAGATGGCAGATTACAAATTTCATGGACCAACATAACCTGAGCCAGCATGGTTTTAGAGCAGGAGGATCATGCCTGTCACAGCTGCTGAACCATTATGACAGAATTATGGAGGCATTGGAAGAAGACCAAAATGCAGATGTGATTTACACAGATTTTGCAAAGGCATTGGACAAATGCAATCATGGAGTGATAGCACACAAAATGAGGGCCATGAGCATTATGGGGAAGGTAGGCAGATGGATTTTTGTGTTCCTAACACAGAACACAACAAGTAGTCGTAAACAGAGCAAGATCCAGCATCAGCAAGGTCAAAAGCTCAGTGCCCCAAGGCACTGTCCTGGCACCTCTGCTGTTTCTCATCCTTATAGCAGACATACATAATAACCCATCACACTTTTGTATCATCATTTGCAGTTGACACTAAAATAAGCATGAAAGTCACTACGGTAGAGGACACTGAAAAATTACAGGAAGACATCAGCAGGGTGGACAGTGGAGAACAACATGACGTTCCATGGTGATAAGTTCCAACTGCTTAGGTATGGAAAGAATGAAGAACTCAAAAGGAACACTATATACTAAACTCAAGAGGGTCACCAAATAGAATGAAAGGAGCACATAAAAGACCTGGAAATAATTATGTCAGCTGACCTTTCTTTTAACCCTTTCAGGGTTGGTGCTGTACATGTACGGCTTGAGAGCCAGGGTTGTTGCCGTACTTATACACCAAAATTCTAGTGCCTTCAAATCGAGCGGAAGAAAGGTGGTAGGCCTACATATGAAAGAATGGGTCTGCATGGTCATTGTGTGCAGTATAAAAAAAAAAATCCAGCAGCACAGTGCTTAATGAGAAAAAAAACTGACCGTGTTTTTGGTTTAAAACAGCGAATTTGCAGTGTATTTTCGTATGGTATTTATTGTTGTATTCTTGTTTTCTTGGTCTCATTTGATAGAATGGAAGATACGTATATTACAGAAATAGAGGTGATTTTGATTGGTTTCCAATAAAAAGTACCTCGAAATTGAGCTCAAAGTAGCGGAAATGTTTGATTTTTGCCGATGTTCAAGAATAAACAAGCATTAGCTTCCATCTCGATATTCTCCTTATGTATGTTATAATGTTCAACTGTTGTGTACTTTGACATTGTATAGAATCAGCCCAGAGCCGTGCACCTGTCGCCTCTAGTTTTTATTAGCTGTATGTCGGGACACCATAAGCTAGCATCGCTGAGCTCTCAGTAGTATAAGTTACCAGTAGCATCAGTAATAATGACTAACTGACCGTTACTGATTCACTGCTGCGTGAATCACTGACTGTTATTCACTGACCATTACTGCTGACCTAGTATATTTTGAATGCCGCTCACCCTCCGAGGCACTCAGCAAAGTAGTTCAAGTAGAGATGTTAAGATAGACAGCAGGTCAGGCTTTGCGCTCCCCATATACAGTGGACCCCCGCATACCGATGGCACCACATAGCGATTAATCCGCATACCGCTTGCTTTAATCGCAAAAATTTTGCCTCGCATACCGCTTAAAAACCCGCTCACCGATTTTCGTCCGAGACGCGTCCAATGTGCGCCCTCAGCCAGCCTCACATGTGCTTCCCGTGCCATTGTTTACCAGCCAGCCTCCGCGGTAACATTCAAGCATACAATCGGAATATTTCTAATTATTACAGTGTTTTCGGTGCTGTTTCTGGAAAATAAGTGACCATGGGCCCCAAGAAAGCTTCTAGTGCCAACCCTACACCAATAAGGGTGAGAATTCCAATAGAAATGAAAGAGATCATTGATAAGTATGAAAGTGGAGTGCGTATCGCCGACCTGGTCAGGTTGTACAAGAAACCCCAATCAACCATCGCTACTATTGTGGGCACCAGAAAGGCAATCAAGGAAGCTGTTCTTGCCAAAGGTTTAACTGTGTTTTCGAAACAAAGATCGCAAGTGATGGAAGATGTTGAGAGACTCTTATTGGTGTGGATAAATGAAAAACAGCTAGCAGGAGATAGCATCTCTCAAGTGATCATAAGCGAAAAGGCTAGGAAGTTGCATCAGGATTTAATTAAAAAAATGCCTGCAACTAGTGCTGATGTGAGTGAATTTAAGGCCAGCAAAGGTTGGTTTGAGAGATTTAAGAAGCGTAGTGGCATACATAGTGTGATAAGGCATTGTGAGGCTGCCAGTTCGGACCACAAAGCGGCTGAAAAATATGTGCATGAATTCAAGGAGTACATAGAGACTGAAGGACTGAAACCTGAACAAGTGTTTAATTGTGATGAAACAGGCCTGTTTTGGAAGAAAATGCCAAGCAGGACCTACATTACTCAGGAGGAAAAGGCACTCCCAGGACATAAGCCTATGAAAGACAGGCTTACTTTGTTGATGTGTTCCAATGCTAGTGGTGATTGCAAAGTTAAGCCTTTATTAGTGTATCACTCTGAAACTCCCAGAGCGTTTAGGCAAAAGAATGTCCTCAAGGATAATTTGTGTGTGCTGTGGAGGGCAAACAGTAAGGCATGGGTCACTAGGGACTTTTTCTATAACTAGTTACACCATGCATTTGCCCCCAATGTGAAAGATTACCTAACTGAAAAGAAATTAGAACTTAAGTGCCTCCTGGTGTTAGACAATGCCCCTGGTCATCCTACAGACGTGGCAGAGCGACTTTATGGGGACATGAGCTTCATTAAGGTGAAGTTTTTGCCTCCTAATACCACTCCTCTCCTGCAGCCCATGGACCAGCAGGTTATTGCAAACTTCAAAAAACTGTACACAAAAGCTCTGTTTGAAAGGTGCTTTGTAGTGACCTCAGAAACTCAACTGACTCTAAGAGAGTTTTGGAGAGAGCACTTTAATATCCTCAATTGTGTAAACCTTATAGGTAAGGCTTGGGAGGGAGTGACTAAGAAGACCTTGAACTCTGCTTGGAAGAAACTGTGGCCAGAATGTGTAGACAAAAGGGATTTTGAAGGGTTTGAGGCTAACCCTGAGAGGATTATGCCAGTTGAGGAATCCATTGTGGCATTTGAAAGTCCTTGGGGTTGGAGGTTAGTGGGGAGGATGTGGAAGAGTTGGTGGAGGAGGACACTGAAGAACTAACCACTGATGAGCTGATAGATCAACTTCAAGAGCAAGAGGCCAGACCTGAGAAAACTGGTTCAGAGGAGGGGAGAGAGAAATTGAAGAAGTTGCCTACTACAAAGATTAAGGAAATGTGTGCGAAGTGGCTTGAAGTGCAAACCTTTTTTGATGAAAATCACCCTCACACAGCTATTGCAAGCCGTGATGGTGATTATTACACTGACAATGTTGTGAAACACTTTAGGGAAGTCATAAAGGAACGAGAGGTACAGGCCACTATGGACAGATATGTTGTGCGAAAGAAGTCCAGTGACTCTGAAGCTGGTCCTAGTGGCATTAAAAGAAGAAGGGAAGTAACCCCAGAAAAGGACTCGACACCTCAAGTCTTAATGGAAGGGGATTCCCCTTCTAAACACTAACACTCTCTCTCCCCTCCTCCCATCCCATCAATCATCACCAGATCTTCAATAAAAGTAAGTGTCATGTAATTGTGCATGCCTTTTTCAGTTTGTGTGTACTAAAATTAACATTTCATGTGGTAAAAAAATTTTTTTTTTCATACTTTTGGGTGTCTTGCACGGATTTATTTTATTTCCATTATTTCTTATGGGGAAAATTCATTCACATAGCGATTATTTCGCATAACAATTACCCCTCTTGCACGGATTAAAATCGGTATGCGGGGGTCCACTGTACATGTATTCCATCCAATATACAGTGGACCCCAGTATACGATATTAATCCGTTCCTGAGAGCTCATCGTATGCCAAAATTATCGGAAGGCGAATTAATTTTCCCCATAAGAAATAATGGAAATCAAACTAATCCGTGCAAGACACCCAAAACTACTGTGAAAAAAAAGTTTTACCACATGAAATATTAAGTTTAATGCACACAAACTGAAGAAGACATGGACAGTTAGTAGTACTCTACTAACAATAGAATACATGAGACTTGCCTTTAATGAAGATCTGGTGATGATTGATGGGATGGGAGAAGGGGAGAGTGTCGAACTTATTGTTTAGAAGGGGAATCCCCTTCCATTAGGACTTGAGGTAGCAAGTCCTTTTTCGGGGTTACTTCCCTTCTTCTTTTAATGCCACTGGGACCAGCTTGAGAGTCACTGGACCTCTGTCGCATAACAAATCTGTCCATAGAGCTCTGTACCTCCCGTTCCTTTACGATTTGTATAAAATGGGCCACAACATTGTCATTGTAATAGTCACCAAAACGGCTTGCAATAGCTGTGTAAGGGTGACTCAAGAAATCGTAAT